TGACATTTAGTGACACATTAAATGAGACAGGTCTTATTTATCATTAGCAAAGGTTCTTAATTTATGCCTTTGGTTAGCGGTTGTTTTGTATTTATATTTGGGTGGTAAGAGCAACGATCGTGGGTTTCTCTGCCATGCTCTTTCCCCACAGGAGCTCTAGGTGAGCCTGGCACTCTCATTTTATGTTAAATGGTTGTTAATGTTTTTGTTGTTCTTTCTATTTGTCACATGTTTAATTTGAATTGTATGTAAATAAAGGTTAGGTGTATTTACTCTGCTTTTGTTTTATATAATTAAACCATACATCCCCTCTACAAAGTTAGTAGCCAGCGCCTTCCGGTCAATAAAAAATAAATACACACAACGTAGGGATTCCTTATGACGATCACATGTTTTTGGCCACAACTACGATATATTGTTTTTTGTCGAACCTAGGGTTGTTATACTACACATTAAAAAAAAATAGTAAGTTAAGATGGTTTAAAGTTGAGCAAATTCGGCATTAAATTTCTACCGCCATGTATGAAATTAAGTCATTTCGAAATTTTATCGCTCTAACTTTATTATTATACACATCAAGTCTTATAACATTTTTCCTAAATTCAAAATTAGCGGAATAAACGGCGTCAAAGAATTATTTTTAATTAATTTTTTCTATTGACTTCTTGTAAGTGTAATGATTTTCTTTAAATGTTATCACACTTATCACTAGTGTACTTTTGTAATCAAGTTCTTAAATTGACGGATATCCTCCAAGGGCCTGCACTTGGTCTTAGAATCATGACGGAACATTTTTTATAAATTTGGAGATAACGTAATTAGATACTATTGAAACATCTATCTTTGACGTCCTGTACGTCTCCTAATTTTAAATTTTCGAAAAAATGATAGAGAACTTTGTGGCGTAAACTTTTCGTCCAGAATCTAGAAACTGTCAAAGTTCTACCACTCGTACAAAGACCTGAATGTTCATGTTGGGAAAAAAATAGAAAGAAGAACATATCTAAAAGCTTCAAAAGAATTAAATTAATACAGGACGATTTTTTTAGTTTTGTTTAATTTAATTTTCACTTTTCACAAAAAAAGTTGTAAATTCGGCAGTAGGTACCGCCTTACTGCCTGCAAAAAAATGTATTTCATATTCTCCAGACAAGTAATAAATTCAAAACATTTAGTAGACAGTTATATTTTCAGTTCACATCTCGTCCTCAGACTCACTCAAACATACCACTGATATCAAAACATTAAAGATTTATTGTTTGAATAAAATTCAAGACCTCCCAACAAACCTAAAAAATCCATGACAATATTTATCACGTCTCCGGACAGGCCATAAAGATTAAGAGGGTTCCTATAGACGCTAGATCATCAAAATAAATCTTTGCACAGCATGAATGGCCAGAGAACAATAACCAATAATTTATCGTGACATAACATCTTTTGATGGTTAAGGCGCGTCCACACTCTCCGAACCAAAACGAACGTGTTCGAACGCTTAGTCATGGGGTAATTCCAGTGTATTTTCCGTATAAATGCAGCCTTACATTTCTCTACCACGGTTAGTTTTGTAGTGCAAATAAATAATGATTTACTGTAGAGGCGTTACCTGCGACATGATGATCTTTAAATTGATTTAGTGGGCAATAGGAATGCTAATATGATACGGTTGTAATTGATAAAGTGCAAGGATCGTTCATAAAAGTGAGTGCTGGCTTGAACTCTGATGTGGCAAAGGACGGACACTCCTTCAAAAATATTTCAGGAGTGACTAATAATTTTATAGGGCGATTTTTATTAGTACTAGTAGTAGTTTACTGGCGAGGTTGAGCAGAGAATTGATCTACATAAATCCGCAGCAAGACATCAATTAAAATAGGCGCTTATTCGAATGAAACAGAAAATAGTTTCTCTGGTATAAATATTTATTGCAACACTCAAAAATTCGCTAATGAGGAATGATCAGAGAATTTATATTGGCTGTACCCCTTTCCTTTCTTCTCTCTTAGCTTCACTGTAATTATACAGGGTGTTTCAGGATTAAGTCGACAAACTTTAAGGAGATATTCCTCATAAAAAAATTTGAAAAAAATTAAGTATAATTTTTTTTTCCAGAGACGCTTCATTTTCGAAATATAGGGCGTTAAAGATTTAAAAAAAGCCAAATTTAGCATGACACGTTTTCTTATAAGATACCAATTTTCCATAGAAGTAACAAGTAAGTCCCGCAAGCAACCACTGGCGGAGTTATGGACTCGTTAGACTCATTAAATTATAAAAAAAATTAATACGGCCCTACTGAAAATAAAAAATGATGCTGTTTTTAGATAGAACAGTTTGTTATTGACAAAAAATGTACATTCACTTTTTTTTCATAACTCATAGTTTCATGGCAAAATTGATTTTTCGGAAGGGTGCTTCTGGATTCTGTCGATAAACTTTAGGAAGAAGTTCTTTACAACCTAAAAAAAATATAGTACCTATTAAAATTGGTCTTAGTCTCGAGAATGTGTGAGTCAAATAAGCCTTTTTATCTCCCCTTTCCTTGAGTTTAATCAATAGTATTAAAATTATTTAGGAGATGCTTCGTTTTTGAGATATAGCGTGTTTTTTTTTTAGAAAAAAAATTATGTTGATGAAAGCAATAGAAATATTTAAGTGCCTAACATCTAATGTGACTATGTCGTAATGCGACAACGTAACGACCCTTGCAACACTCCTAAATTTTTTCAGGCGATTTGTAGTCACTTCATTTACTTGTGTTGTGGTACTTTTAAATAAAATAAAATGGCAAAGAATACATGAAAATTTATTTGTAAATTGAAAGAACCAAAAAATTGCCAATTAATATTATATCTAGACAAAGCGAAAAGTGAATCAAAAATCAAATTATTTAAAACATATTTTGTTCAAAATGGGCCCCTCCGAACTGTAGACAAGCACGACATCTTCTAATTATGGAGGTAGTGGCCGATCGACACTGAATTGGTGTTAATTCTCGACACGGTTGGACGATTCGCTGTCTTAGATCTTCTAGGGTATCAACTGGCACCTCGTAGACTTTTTGTGTAACAGTACCCCAAACGAAATAATCCATCGGTGTCAAGTCCGGTGAACGTGCGGGCCCCGCTGCAGGTCCTCCACGACCAATCCATCTCCTGGGATAATTAATGTTTAACCACTACCTAGGACCTCTACCAAATTGCGCAGGACAACCATCTAGTTGAAACCAACTATTCATTCGAGTATTAAGTGGAACATATTCTAACAGATCTTGAAAACCATTTTCAAGGAACTCAGTAAACATGTCAGCATTTAATCGATGCGGAAGGAAGTAGGGACCAACTATAGTGTTGTCCAACACACCCAACCATACGTTACATTGGAATTTATACTGAAAGCTAAGTTCCCTTACCGCCCGTGGATTCTCGTAGGACCAAATATGGTTGTTCCTTTGGTTTAAAATTCCCCTTCGAGTAAATGTTGCCTCTCTGCTTGGTTTAACATCCAGTCATAAAACACGCGCCTGCATCGTATGTCCTGAGGCAATAAATGTTGCACACGCTGGATATGGTACGCATGGCGCCCATCAGCCCGAAGAGTCCTCCAAATGGAACTTGACGAAATAATTTTTTGTTGAGGTTCATTTTAAAGTTTATCGACAGAATCCAGAAGCACCCTTCCGAAAAATCAATTTTGCCATGAAACTATAAGAGTTAGGAAAAAAGTGAATGAACACTTTTTGTCAATAACAAACTCTTCTATCTAAAAACAGCATCATTTTTTATTTTAAATAGGGCCGTATTAATTTTTTTTATAATTTAATGAGTCTAATGAGTCCATAACTCCGCCAGTGGTTGCTTGCGGGACTTACTTGTTACTTCTATGGAAAAGTGGCATCTTGTAAGATGTGTCATGCCAAATTTGGCTTAAATAGCCTTCTTCATTTAGAAGTTATTTAAAAGAATCGAATTTTTAAAAAAATTTTTAACCCTATATTTCGAAAATGAAGCGTCTCTGGAAAAAAATTTATACTTGATTTTTTTTCTTATTTTTTATGAGGAATATCTCCTTAAAATTTGTCGACTTAATCCTGAAACACCCTTGTAATTATAAAAAAACGGTGGGTAAAATCATGGATAAGGAAAGTCTTAGCCTAATGTGAGACAAAATTAATATATACCTACGGTAGGACAAAGTTGTTTTGAGATTCCCTGGGACTGTGACTTACGAACAAATTGAAATGAAACAACTTAAAAAATAAAAGTTCATTTTTTTGTTATTTTCTTTTATATTACATTCGGAAAATTATGTATCTAATTAAAAAAACAATAGGCAGTTTGCCTTGACTACTTAACTACAATTAACTGTGTCCGATAACATTTAAAAATTCTACGCCAATGTCTACGCTATAGTTAAAATTGTATATCGAACAAACAATTTTTACATGTTATTTTTGTGAATAAATTTGTTAGGGATTTTAAGTGATAAACTTATTTTAAATTTTTGTAAATAATAACTTCAAAGTGGCATGTTTTTTTAATAAAGTTAGAAAATACCTTTTTAACTCGAAATGACATTAAAAATTAATTGCATTGATCCAATTTTCAACGTCTTAGTATCTCCCACCACTTGTTGTTCGATGAATTTTCACTTTTAATTAATTATATTATTAGTTCAAGTTTCATCACTCTTAAGTCAATGCGATATATTTTTTTTATTCAACACCTTATATCTCAAAAACCAGTGGATCATACGTTTTATGGTCTAAAATAACGCAAAGAACAACCTCCTCAAATTATGTCATAGACTGGTAAGTATAATTTCGTTATCTGTATGTTGCAAATACTAAAAAGAAGTCCAGAACTGTTATAGCTCTATAACATATTAATAAATTTAGGAAAGGACTTCTCAGATATTTTGACCAGTGGCGCCACTATTTTAATCGAGCCCTGGGTATAACAGATATTTTTCAGTTTAATGGAATGAGATAAAATACTTACTCCGGGTTCAAGTGACAGAGCCATATAACCAAATTCTAACAAAAGGTACAGCCAGAGGAGACCTGCAACAAAATATTCGTTAATTTCTACAACCAGTTGTAAAACAAATTTTATTTTATAGCAATTATTACCACTATTATTATTAAACGTTAAAAAATGGTTATTTCATTATAATTATTACAGTATATCGAAAATACTAATTATTTTTAGGACCATTAAAAAAAATTTGCATATTTTTTATACTGCTTGATATTGATTGTACATGAACCGAAATCAGTCTACGTGATTTGACTTCGCAAAATCCTTTCCAGATGATGTGTGTCAGTGCGTGTCATAAGCGTATGTAAGATGGAGGTGTTACTATTTTCAAATTTTAGTCATTCCAATAGGAGTTGTTAAAAAAGGAATAGTGTGTTTGTGTCAGTAGCTACTCTGACCATCAAGGTTGCCTTTAATAACCAAAATACTTCTATTCTAAAATTGGAGTACGAAATGTGGATATATCAAGTGATGTCGTGGATATATGCTTGGCCAGATTTAAATATAAACAGCAGACAAGAAGCATTTTTTGAAATATTTTCTACAGAATTAAAGAGGCATTTGAAAAATGGTTTACTATTTTGTATCTCATCAAACCTGGTGCAGTGATTGTCGTGCCTTACCATAATCGAGGAACAGAAAAGTTGTCAACATCAGCATGTACAAGTACTTTTACAGGAGGCGATTAATTGGGTAAATGCGGAGACTTTGAATCAGGGCATTTTTATTTACCCAATACGTTGGGTGCAAAAACAAGTGTCTCCCTGTGAAGTAGACATTTTTATTGATTTAGCACATTTTTCATACTTAGAATATACAATAACATATTTCCGATGTAAAACACTGAAATCTGAAGTATGATTATTAAAAACTATATTTTCCATTGCTTTAAGAAAAACAAAGAAAGCATCATATTACTATAAATGTCTTATTCCTTGTTGATGTAAAAATAAAAAATTTTAATTATGTTGTATTAGAAACTTTCATTAGTTTTATTCTTGTATACAAGAGGGGAACTTTCTGGACGTGACACGTGAATAGAAATGTTCCCATTAGGACCTGTAAAATCTATAAAAGTACCGTAGAAAGTCGTTGTACTAATAAGACAAAAGTGAAGAATCATCTTTATTTAACTGTTCTCGCTCTCATTGTTAAAATAAGAATGAAAAGCTGATTAAACGATGTATTACCAGAATTTCACATTAATTCAAAAGTCGAGAGAACTGTATTAAAAAAACTAAATGCAGGTTGTTGTCCCTAGCTCCTATACTACTAATGTACTATAAAAAACAAAGAAAAAATATACAGTCCACTATTTTTAAGTAACCACAGAAATATATAACCAAAATGAATTTTACTGAAAATTCATAGATCAACAAGTATACCCATAAATTTTTTCACATGGCTTTTTTAAAAAGTCTCCGTGTTCATCTAGGTTACTCTCATATATAACATTTTTTATAAAATATTCAAACGAACGACAATTTTGGTAGTAACAGTTAATAATGCCTTACATCATCATTACATTAACATTTTGCAAATAAATTGAATATATTTTTATACACTGTAAAAAAAATTTCACTCAAATTTCACTCAATTTTACTCAATAATGTATCAATTTCTGTCCACACCGGATTGAATAAAATTTTCACTCTACTAATATGAGTACAACTGAGGGAAACTATTGCGTCAATAATGAGTGAGTTTTACTCAAATCCGAGTTACTGCTAATTATCAATTGAGCGACTTTTGACTCTATTCTGTTTATATAAAATCAATTTAGAGTTTACTTTTGCTCTAATGTGATTTAAATTTAACTATTATTGAGTCATTTTTTACTCAGACTTGGTTTTTAATTAACTGAATATTGGGTGCAAAAATAAATGATTAATTATGATATACAGTTTTGAAAATTAATTCACTTCTTGGGACCTTCTCCTGTCCTGGCCGAGACCCGCCAGCGGCTCCAGCTGAGACCCGCCGCCGCTGGCTAAGGCCTATTCTCCTGGCGATCACGCTTTTCTGGAGCATCTAACGGGCCCCTATCAACTGTGGTCAAGATTACAGAAGCAATATGTAAGTGGTGCCATCTTCATGGCGCCATTCAAATTAATTGAAATTAATACACATTTAAACTCACTCAGTAATGAGTACATTTACTCTGATTTAGACAAGTCCACCAAATACGATTTTACGGGAATAATTTATTTAACGGGTCCATATATTTGAGTGAAAGTACTCAGTTTTAGTTTAAATATTATCAAAAATGAGTAAAATGATGAAAATGCCCAATATTGAATGAAAATGTACTCAATAATTTCACTCAATGGATTCAGTCCGAACCTTTATTGCTTTCACTCACACCGTAATATTTTGCTTAATTTGCCGAAAACTAAATTAGTCCATTGAAAAGTTACATTTGGTGTTGCAAAACTCAGAGCACGCAATTTTATTTTTTGGATGTCAAGAGGGGGTTAGTGTAAAGTCAAATCTATGTTTGTGGGGTCGCAACCCTTGTGCATCGGCCGCCATCTTGTAAAAAGGGCTGCGAATTGTTTTTATACTACTACTTACTATACCGGACAAACTGTTCATCGCACAGAAAATTTGTAAAGACATTTTTTGTTGCAAATTAAATTCTCTACAAATTTGGTACCGTAACTTTTAGTCGTAGAACCAAAAATAACAAAGTTATTAACGAAATTATATAAAAATTTGGGAAGGAATTTTCTTTTGGTCGTTATAACTTTTTTTCTGGTCACTTTACAAAAAAATTACATCAGAGCATTTTGATAGAGGGGTTTTCAAGGAATAATTTCCATTACAAACTTTTTTCAAAGTCTCAGATTCTTGCATTCGTATTCTGTTCAGTTCTAGAGATTGTTTTCTAGTAAACTCAAGTTAAAGGAGACCATTACAGACCATTTTAAGTAAAGAGCACGCAACAGATCATAGTTAGTTATTCCCCTCATCAAAATACTTCCTCTTTCAATGACAAAAATTATAAGGATTCTGTAAAATTTGGAGTAATTCTAATAACATTCCGATTGGACTAATTCCAATGAATTTTCAATGGAATTGCTTCTAATAAATTTTCGTTGGATTAGATATTGATGTGTATTTACTAAATCCTTATTCGATATTATGCCAAAGAAATATTCAAGCTGTTATAAAGGCCAAAGGAGACGACTACCACATTTCGTAGCTTTTGTTTAATTATCATTGAAGTTCAACCATTTCTTTTTAATATATACAAATCAATTAACTTTGTTAAGTGGCAGTCTCTATTCCAGAATTATGGACACATCTATGTCAGAGCCAACTCTTGGGATGGTATCTGAGAGATGGTTCCAAGGTTTCACTTCCATAAGCCATTTGAGATTCGAATAGAGGATCAAGTAAATGAGAGGAAAAGTTTGATATACTGAAAAGATGGAGTGTGGTTTACGGACGGCTCCAAGATGGCCAGAGGGACGGGTGCAGGAATGTATGGCAGATGGAGTGCAAGCTACAGTCTGGGGAGGTTTCCTACCGTATTTCAAGCAGATTTCATTTCGGCGAATTTTCGTTTTTTGCAGAGAATATACGTAGAGGTTATAAACACAAACTCTTATATATGTTATCTGACAGTTAAGCTGCAATTAAATATTTAGACACACACAAGATAAGTTCAAAACTTGTGTGGGAATGTTTACAAATGCCGACTGAACTGACTACCACTAATACAGTTAGATTGTGTTGGGTGCCAGTCTCGTTTCCATTAATGTCTTTGTGTCCTGGTAGGCTGCCAGGACACAAATACATTAATGGAAACGAGAAAACGAATGAACCTGCTAGGAAGGGATCCGAAATAGAGTTCATTGGCCCGGAGCCCATTTGACATTTCGCAGTGTGGTCAGGAGGGCTCTGGGCAAATGGATTGAGACAGAACATAGAAAATAATGAACTTCAAGGCCAGGGCAAAGCCATTCTAAGGAACTTATGTAATATGCTTTGAAGGAAAAAACAAATGAGTTGCTGAGCTTGAATAAAATTCTACTCAGGAGAGTAACGGGATTTATAATGTCACTTTAGAAAACCTCTCCATAAGCTAAAGCTTTTATACTCGGCGTATGAAACCTCTCTGCATATCCTGGGCGAGTGCCCAGGATTTTCACGTAGTAGAATAATTCTCCTGAGAAGACTGTATGTGGAACCCAAGGAGTTGAGAGAAGTGTCGGCAAGGAAGCTTTTAAACTTTATAAAAAGGACAAAACTACGCACAATAGGCCTAATAAGGCCGCGGTGCTATGGGACTGGATCAGAAGCAACCACTAGGAAAAGAAGAAGAATACTATAGTTAAGATGAATTTGGAAGACTTGCTTTAAATATTTCATCTTTGTAACAAATAATATGCCAGCCGAAAATTATGTTGTTACGCCTTGCATTTGTGTAATCACATTTATGTAAATATAAAATTACATCAACTTTTAATGCATATTTCTGAACTTGTGTAAAATAATTGTCCACAGTATTTTCACCAATATCTGCATTAAATCCACTGTGAATTTTCCCCGTCTTTTTTTTTCAGCCGGGTATATCTCATTACTCTCAACGTGGAGAAACTTCCGTTCGGCACGAAAACGGACCTGAAGCTGGAAACCGTGACGGTGACGCTGCTCAGGGAGAGAAATCAGAGCGACGGACGTGGAACTAACTACACCGCATTTAATATTCACGGCAGCCTTGCGAAACAACCGAAGATCGCTTAATTGAGAACGAAAGATGCGTGGCGGATGAGCAATTATTTCAGCCAGATGCAAAGTGTAACCGATAACTGTAATGAAATTTGAAATAATTACTATTGATTATGGAAATTCGTCACAGGTAATTTGATCCTTAATTAACTCTACGAGGGAGATTCGAAAAATAATATAATTTTGAACAGTTTTGAGGGATTTTTTTAACTTCCTTAATGAAATATTTTCTATGGTAGATTCAAATTGAAATAACCCTCGTACCGAGTATTTATCGACTTTATTT